AGCAATCCACAGATAAACTCTATATGTAAATATTTACAATGTATATAAATGTAAAATAATTTCATAAATAAAAGAGCACCACATGCGCCCGAAGATGGTTACATCATTGGTATAAAAAAAATAAATAAATAAAAATAATTTTTGATCTACTAGTCCAATTTGGATGATTTTAACTGTCAAATATTCATCTTGATAAGACGATTCTAATAAATTCAAAATCATCACAAGATCATTAAGATTATTTGTATAAATTCATATATAATAAAATTAGTTTTACTATATATAAAATAGTAAAAAACCTTAGCGATCTCAGGATCCTGTAATTGGATTTTGATGATTTTAGATTCATTAAAATCGTCTCATCAAGTTGAACATTTTGACAGTTAAAACATCCAAATTGGACCAGTAGATCAAAAGTTATTTAATATTAAAGATTTATTATAATATATATATAATTTATATATTATATATTTTGTATATATGATTATATATTATATATTATATATATATATGTAATGTAATCACTCTACTAGTACTCAGCTAGACCATGTATCTATGGTAAAAATTACGTAATTAATGGCATGTCCCTTATAAAGATAAATTAAACAATTATTCAAATGTTATAATAATTTGATCGATCAACTCTTTCTAACGATCTCTTAGCCAACAGAAACCAAACTACAGTCAGCATTATAGAAGACAATAAAGTAAATAATATACTTGGTCCTATAGAAGTAGATGTGTTGTTGACAAAGTACCAAGAGTGTAAAACTGAGGAGTGGTCTACTTTGGACTGGTTTTGGTAGAGGTTTAGCTTTGGTTAGTAGACTCCTCTATTCTATTTGGCATTCAAACTAGAAGAATAAAACAACACCAAGAATATTTTAAACTTTGGGTTACTCCTATATAACTGTAAAACTTACAAAAAACAACCACAAAAAAGTCTTATTGGCCATCACTTTTTTTCAAGAAAATTTGTCAAAAAAAGTAGACACCTTAGTTTACCTTCTCCAAAAGATCGATATGTAAAATCACCAAAACAGTTGGTATTATTTATTTCCCAAAGCAGATGTTTATAACATATTGTTTATTTAGTGTAGCTCAAAGTAACCTGGGTTACCAATAAACCAGTAGACTGCAGTCAGATGTATCAAAGTAAAATAAGTAGAAAATCCTTATGTACAAAAATAGTATATCTGAGACACACGATGATAATGTATCTCGACTTCTATAAACTGCAAACAATACTTCGAGACTACAGCTTCTTTTTTCTAACTACTCTGTCTAGGTTTTCTAGTTTAGTTTAGGATGTTTTTTTCCTTATATAGGTTTTTTGATATAAATACATATATTATTAGAATAGAGTTAGATACAAAGCTTCTTTATTCTATTAATATGTAATTTTTTAAAGCCTGACACAGGCTTATAATTGTGACCTATTAGATTTTTTTTCTTTTTTACCTCCTTTCGTCTCTGTTTTTGTTTTTTAGTATTAGTTTCTAGTATTTTTTTCCCCTTTAATATTAGTATTAGTGTTAGTGTTTTTTTCTTTTTTTCACTTTTCTACAAAAAGATGTTATTAGTTTGGTGGTATCCTATTGTAGGGTGGTGGTCTAATAATGTCTTCTGAAATAGATATAGTTTCTAGTTGAAACTCATCAGGATGTATTCAAAGGGACATGTCTGCTTAGTATAGCCAGTCACTTATAAGTGCTCTTTGAAGTAACTGCAGGATGTTATGTCTAAAATTACATAGTATAACATTTTGTTTGATATTGTTTTAATCAATCAATACTCTGTAATAAAGAATTTTGGCAAGATAGCCAAAGTGAAATATATATATATATATATATAATAATAATTTGACCATTTTTGTATTAGTAATATTTTTTTAATTAATAAATTCTAATGAAAAAAAAGCAATATTACTGTCATATATTGAGCATATCGATCATATAATACAAGAGATACATCATAATGAGGTGCACTATTTTATAAAATCCTTAATAAATTGTTGAATACTAACAAAAATATAAATAAAATAACTTACTTTTCTTGAAATGATAACTTGAAGCTAGATTATATAAACATAATAAAATACAAAAAAATAAATAAAACTAACTTACTTTCTTTTCAAACTTTTTTTATTTTGTGACATACTAATTGTTGGTAAAGTTAATATGGATAATAATGATGTAAACAATGCTAATTTAGAAAATACTAATATGAAAGAAGCTATTGCAGCTGAAATTACTAAAACCAAAGTTTTTATAGACAATTTTGAAGCTAATGTAAATGGTGTTGGTTTGAATAAAGTTGATATTCTGCATTTATTGAACATTACACCTTGGTTATCTAATTGTTTAGGATGTTTTAAAGTGTTGAAATTTAAGAAGCATCTGTATTGGTTTTCTTGCCTTTTTTTTTTTTTTTTTTAAAATGTTAAGGTGACTACTCACAGGTCTGGCACAGTTTATTAAACTTTTGGTTTGATACTAGCATAGTCACATGGACAGTGCCTGATCTTGTTACATTAACGAGAGTATATTCTAGCCATATCTGTGCCTTTTGAACATCTATTTAAGTAGTCTGCCTATCCTAGATCTACACTAGATGCCGTACCTGTAACCCAACTATAAGATTATCCATTTAAACTTTCTGATCAACTTTATACCATCTGATATCTTCCCTAAAGAGGAACCTGCCGCTAAGGCCTGCTAAGTCTTTAATGCGGACACATACTTCCATATAGGAGGGTCTTTTGACCTTGTGGTAAACCTACTAAAGTAGTCCATATCCCACACATGTATCAAGTTTTTCGGTAACTTATGCCTAGGCCGAGACTAAGTACTTGTGAGCTGAAGCCGCTACTATTATCTACTCCTTGCCTTTGCAAAGTTCGCTTAAACCCCAGTACCCACTTTACAGACTATCACCCGTACTTCCGTTACCCGAACTTCTAATCCAGATGGCCCAAAAGGGCTGTGACCTGCCCCTGGTCTCCACAGTTGGGTCCTTTTCCTCCGGTCTCCTCCAGTGGCCAAGTTGGTGGAGCACTTTGCCAAACACTTCGGTCCTGTTCGGTTCTCGTTGCTTCTGGATAGTAATCCTTTTACATAGTACCGTTAAAGATCTGTGCTACCTCTCTACTCAGGACTTGCCAAGTGGGCTTCTGTATCCTGTCAATCCACTGGATTTATTCGGTAGCTTCACTCAGGTTTTGTGTAACTCATACGTCATACTAAATGTTCCACTACTTCCCAGTACAAGCTGGTGTAACCCTATTACAGATTCTAAAACCCAATAGGATACAGTCTTCCTAATGCATTCTGTAAATTCGAATTTTTCGTCACCAGTGGGATTCGAACTCTTGTTCTGCTGCTTGGGGATATGACAACTTTCCAACTTCACTAAGTCACTACACCCTGTTTTTGCCTTTTTCTTATACATTGTATTTCTAGTTTTAAGTAATAAAGTTATAAAAAAAAACTTCTTTATTTATATAAAATTTACCTTCGTAAATAATAAGAACTATATATTAATATTAGTATTTAAATTGCATGAAGCTTTACCAATAATAATTTGGTTATTAAGTACTGTAATAAGCCAGGGTTTAGAACGTGATGAAAAATGTTCAGTAGTAAATTAAATAATAATAGATATATTAACTGAAGCATTAAATGATCATATTAATAATAACATCATTCTACAATAGATTCATTTTAGTACAACTGATAATTTAAAATTTTACTTACTATAGACAATTACTTCATAACATCATATTTTATTACTAGTCAAAATATAATACATCTAAATTAAACAATACTGTATAGTTTTAGAACTGTCTTTATATTACAATAATCTTTGTTATAAAACTATATTAGCATTATTATCAGCTCTGAGATGTATAAGTAATTATAGAAGTCAGAAATGACAAGTAATATGAAATATGATTAATGTATACAAAAAATATAGATTAATTATTTTATGAAAAAACTCTTTCCGGTTCACTTAAAACACAACTAAAATCAAAATTTTACTAAGAAACTCTTTTTTTATCTTCGACTCTCCTAACGAGACAAGGACCTTGG